ACAATTTTGAAAATATTTTGACTCTTTTTGAGCCGTTTACGGACATTTTCAGTTTTCAATTTTTTTAGTTTTTTTTTCCTATAAAATATATCAATAAAGTTATATCTGTTGGGCCAAAAAGTGTAAAAATTAATACAAGGCTCCTGATATATTGTTACAATAGCAATTGAAAAATATTAAAAATACATAGTTATAATTTTTTTTTATAAGCATTTAAAGATCGCATTTTGATAAAATGTATCAATCATCGTAATTAATAAATTATAAAATGTTCAGTTTTTATAGCTAAGGATTGAAAATTTAAAAAAAAGATTCTCATAAATAGTTCATACTGTAACCAAAAAATCTGAAAAATATATGAACACAGTTATTTTTTACAGACATTTTAAATTCAAATTTGGACGAAATTACATATTAAAATCAATATTAACGATCTTGGGTTTTTTGTTGTAATTTAAAAATATTATTCGGGGATATATGAAACTGAAAAATCAAAATATTATGGCCTATCCATACAATCTACCATAGTACAAGGAATAAGAAGTATGCTCAATGATAAGACTGTGCATAATATAAGGGGCAATGAATAATTTATTCATAAATTCCATATAATTTAATACCATAGATAAGTATATTATATGTCTTATACCTAGACTGACATACCGTCTCCGCTCAGAATCGTTTTTCTTATACAATGATATTATATCATTGAATTCAAGTTTAATACCATCCATTATACAGTGACCCACTTGTAACCTACAGTACAGCAGAGCGACATCCACTTCCCCACTTTTTTTTTTTTTTTTTTTTAATACAGAATTTTATACTCGCGTATAATATTATAATAACTATTGTAATGATTAAATATTTGTTTGTATATACATATTCATACGTCTTATTTAATAATATTGAATTTAGTAATTCATCTTGTGTATTTAACTTTGAAATAATTTTTATAAAAGCTTCTTTGTCGAATTTTAAATTTTTTATTTCATCTAAATGAATGGGTTTTGGATAACGTTGATTAAGTGTAAATACTTAAATACTTAAATCTAAAGGTAGTGTTGCAAAAGACGATTCTACTGTTTGCTCTGTTATTAATACGCCTTTAGTAGTATGAGCTTGACACCCACCTTTCAGAAATAATTTTCCAGAACTTTTCAATGTAATTTTACGAATAAAAGATCAATTATTACAAATTATTGTAATTGTTGTAGGCTTTTCACACACAAAGTACCAATTATTTTTGAAAAACGATGGGTACCATAATTCTTTTTTAAATTCCGTGATATAAGTATCACATTGCGTAGGTTTAGTTAAAGCATTTTTTTAATATTTCTGTTACACAAGTAGGATCAGTATCACTATTGTAGTATTGTGTAACATTTCATTGAAACCGCAAACAAAAATGTCGGCAACTATTAAACAGTTATTGATATTTGACCAAATAAAATATTTTGTCAACACATCATCTGTTAATAAATACGTTGGATTTTCAACGATATGTATAAATTGTCCGTGTTCATTAATTGGAACGTAGGTATATTGGTATAATATAATAGGTACAATTTAAAAATTTCGCCGCTACATAGTGGAATTTTTATTGAAAATATTATTCTATCGTTCATCGGGTGAAGGTCTATATGTAATATTTTGTATATTTCTTGTATATTAGTTTCATTAAATTTGATAGGGATTTGTAAATTTTCAGGTAGAATATTTTCTATTTGTTTTATTTCTGACAACAACTGATCTGGTGTAATTATAAAAACATCTAATTTATTTGTTTGAACGTTTGATATCATTCTTTGTAACCTCTAAAAATAAAATTAACCTACTAAAATATAATATTTAGACATTTAGGTAATACTAGTTTAGGTTAAAGTTATATATTACTATATTAGATAATATTATTTACTGTATTGAATACATTCTTTACGAAGTAAGTATTTAATAATGCAATAAATATAAGTCGCGTAAAGGTACGCTCGAATATTAAAAATATTACGGCGGTAATGCGGTATAATATACGTGTATACATTTTATATTTATGTGATCCGCCACAGACGAAGGTTGATAAAATAATAAACATCGCTCCCGAATGAGCAAAATTGTCGGCCAGCCGCCGACTGTGAGTAGTGGGCGCGGCTTAAGCGTCGCGTGCTTGCGGATCGCGAAAACACCTAACAGCGCGTTCTCTCGGTCGTTGTATACGTTTCGCTTTCGGTGTGGCGTCCTCTTAACCTTTTCATTTTTCATGAAGTACTGAAGTATATAAACATTTTGAGCAATAATCTCCAAAGTAAGTCTATGACTTTGGGTAAAGCTTTGGATATCATAAAAAGTGTTACTAAGACATTAGAGGACAAACGAAACGAACAATCATTTCAATGTTTGTGGGATGCATTGACAGAATTTTCTGAAAATTTTGAAATTAGTCTAGATACTCCATCCAATTCAAAAAAAAAAAGAAAAGTTTTTGAAAATTCTTTACTTAAGGATAGTATTGTTACATCTACAGTAGGAACAGATAATTTTGAAGAACAAAGTAAAACACCAGAAGCACATTGGAGAAGTCACTCATATTATGAGATTCTAGATAGCATAATTCAAGGATTGAATATCAGGTTTTCAAGTGAAAGTTTATCTATTGCGAATGCTCTTGATAGTTTCTTAAAACTAAATACTAATGACTCTGACCCTTTTATTAACCACTATCAGAAGTTACTTAAAGTTGATTCTGATCTACTAAAAGCAGAAATGATGGTAGCAAAAAAATGCATATCAAAAGAAGAATGGGATTTTGATGAACTAATAAACATTGCTAATGAATCGGTACTACCAAATTTAAGAAAAATGTTAAAAGTAGCATTAATATTACCTGTTACTACAGCTACTTGTGAGCGTTCCTTCTCTGCTATGAGGAGAATTAAAACCTGGCTGAGATCTAGAATGGAACAAAATCGTTTTGATAATTTGGCAATACTAAACATTGAAAAAGATTTACTGAAGAACTTAAACAAAGAAAAAATTCTTGATGAGTTTGCCAAAAAGCCAAGAAAATTAAAATTAAAATTCTAATATTAGGTATGTAATGTAATTTGTATGACTACTATGACTATATTTTAAATCTAATGACAAAATATTACTATTGTACATATATCTATTTGAGAAATTGTTTTATAATATAATATTACTTATATTACCTATATTAATTGTGAATTGCTATGTTGTATTCAAATTTGTTCTTATTAATGAATTATTTTTAATTGAATAAACTAAAAAGTCTTAATTAAATAGTGTTACTTTAATTATAAATAAACAAATAATCATATAAAAAAATATAGGTAATAACTAAAAGTAAGAATTTTGCTTGAAATTTTCATAGGGATTTAGCCCCCCCTGTTTTAGAACCCTAAATACGCCCCTGCTAATGCGTCGCGCCGTCGCGGTCGTTTGTCGTTTATTAAATATTTTACAATGCACAATTCTGCAAAATGTTTAAATTTTACAAAAATATAGTAGGTACAGTAAAAATTTGTTTGAACCGGAACGATAAACGTATTTTTTTTACGAACCGGAACGCTAAAAATTTTTTTGTCGTGAACCGGAACTGCGTTCCGGTGCGTTCCGGTCCATTTCGAGCCCTGCTTAATATTGAGTAGAACGCAGTTAGTTTAAGGGACGTTCTACATCCACCGTGTGAAATTGGTCAAATACGCGGTATCACAAGTGATTTATAATACGTGCTATCACTAAAATCACTTTTAGCGGGAAACTAATGATTCTATTGTGTGCATGATAATAAACAATTTTATGAGCAAGGAGATTACAAATATTTTGATATATAAATCTCATTTTGCCCAAAATGAGATACGTGTTGTTGCTGTTAAGGTAACGATATCAAAATATCCATTAGGTACTTATAACGCGTTATACATCAACAAAAACCGTGATACTATCATAGATATATAATAGTACACTTTAGAAGTTTCAAGTATCCACGAATAATATTATTCAATCACAACAAAATAACTAAAATAGTTATTCTAGGTTTTAGATTCTGAGTGAAACGATGAATGTATTGATTTTACAATGATGTGTGTTTTTTTATTTTTTTTTTATTTTTTTTGTGTCTGTGTACACGATAAGTAGTCGAAATAATGCTTCGATTTTCAACTTCAGTATCTTGTTCGATTGGAAAGTAAATATCGTTGGTGCATTGGGGAGGTCAAAATTTAAATTTCCCAGTAGTTTTCAAAAGCGCCGGAAAAACAAAAGAAAAATTAAGGAAAACGGGAATTTTTACGCAAAATCGGTTTTCCAAAAAATCGATTTTGGTTTTTGGTGTAACTTTAAAACAAATGACCGTAGATACATGAAATTTTCAGTGGTTCTTTATATTTGCATTTAATATACACGATAACATTTTCAAAATATTTTGATTTATATTGAACTGTTTAGGGACATTTTCAGTTTCCAATTTTATTAGTTTTTTTTTTTATGAATATCAATAAAAATTTATTTGTTGATTAAAAATACTTGAAAATTTAATACAAGGCTCCTACTATATTGTTTCAAAGACAGATGAAAAATCGTTAGTCACAGTTTTTTTTTTAAGCATTTAAAGTTCAAAAAATGACAAAATATGGAAAAATCACGAAAATTTGCAAATTATTTCGAGTTAGAAATTCATAAAAATTTTTCTTTTTAAATCTAAGGTATGAAAATGTAATACAAGATTCCTTATGAGATTTCCTACATTTATCAAAAAAAAAAAATTCTATAAGAAAGTCAAATTAAATTTTTATGAGCGTTTGAAATTCAAATTCCCGGAATTTATTTATAGAAAAAAAACTATATTTCTTATCAAATATCTGATTATTGGAATTAAAAGTAGACATTATTAGCTATCTGTAGGTTTTGTCGTTAAAATTACATTAGTCTCATGTGAGCCGTAATCGTGTCCATACGAAACGTAGTTTACGCATATTTTTAAAATGTCACAATTTGAACAACGCGCTAACATTAAACTTTGTTTTAAACTTGGAAAAACTGCTGCAGAAACGCTTGAATGTTTGAAAACAGTTTATGGTGATGAAGCATTAAAGAAAACAGCCGTTTATGATTGGTTTAAACGGTTCAAAAATGGTCAAGAGTCACTCGAAGACGAAGAGCGGAGTGGCCGGCCGTCAACTTCAAAAAATGATGAAACAATCGAAAAAGTTAAAAATTTGGTGCGATCAGATCGTCGTTTACGCATTCAAGATATGGCAAATGCATTAGGAATATCGTATGGTTCAGTTCAAAACATTTTGAAAGATGATTTAGGAATGCGGTGCGTTTGTGCGAAATTTGTTCCACGCATTTTGACCGAAGACCAAATGGAAAACAGAAAATTGATTGCCGCTGAACTTTTCGAACGTTCCGTAAATGAAAAAGATTTTTTATCAAAAATCGTTACAGGCGATGAAACTTGGGTTTTCGCTTATGACCCAGAGACAAAATTGCAGTCATCAGAATAGCACACAACAACGTCACCGAGGCCAAAAAAATCACGTGTTGTCAAATCACAATTGAAGGTCATGTTGATTGTGTTCTTCGACAATGAAGGGTTAGTTCACTGGGAATTTGTACCTAATGGATAAACAGTCAACTCAAGTTTTTATATTGAAGTTTTAAAGCGTTTAAGAGATTCAATTCGGCGAAAAAGGCAAAGAAAATGGGAAAATGGTTGGTTTTTGCATCATGACAATGCACCATGCCACTCGTCTCTTGCAGTTCGGCAATTTTTAACGGATAAAAAAATGTCTACAATTCCACAACCCCTGTATTCGCCAGACATTGCTCCATGTGACTTCTGGCTTTAAAACTTGGACTCAAAGGTGAACGTTTTGCGACAATTGAAGACATTAAAGTAAACGCAACAGCAAATCTCAGGGCCATTCCAATAGATGGATACCAAAGATGTTTCCAGCAGTTACAAAGTCGTTGGAGTAAGTGTGTCTGTGCTGAAGGACGATATTTTGAAGGAGATTAAGTAAATTAAATAGATTTATATTTAAATTGTACGTATATACATAGAAAAATAAAATGAAATTCCGTGAACTTTTTGATCCTACTACGTACTTGAATTTACTTCTTTACACTTAGCTTGTACCCCTGAAATACAACCGGACATGGTAGAAGCCCCATCAAAACAAACTGAAACAACATCTCTCCACTGAATTTTTAAACTTGTTAGTAGCATTGATAGCTCATTAAAAATTGACTGTGAATCAACAAGCTTCAATCTTTGAAGTCCAACAAATCTTTCAATAGGGTTAAATGTGTCATCATCAAAGTAACGAACAACAATTGACATTTGTTCATGATGACCCATATCTGTGGTGTAATCAGAAATAATAGATACTGGTTTATTTTGAACATTTGATATTATTAAAAGGAGCATAGTGTTCTCAATACTATTTAAAATGTCATTTTGAATGCGATTACTTATATAAATTGTATTCCTTGCTCCGTTTTCTAAATGATTCTTAATAACAGGATCATATCTAGAAAGAAGATGTACTATTTCTAAAAACAATCCTTTTTCAAAACTGTCATTTTTTTCATTATGTCCTCTAAGAGCTCGACCACCTTTCGTTAAAGTAATTATTATATCAATGAGTCTCTTCATAATAGTTCGATTAGCAATTCTTTGTTCTTCTTGACGACTTATTTCTAATTGTTTTTCTTTTACTAGTATTCCATCAATTGGGTTTGCTTTAAGATATTCAGATAATATATTTACGCTACTAATATGAATAGACGTTATTTGATGTGCTTTGAACTTTGTGGTAGCAATATTCCAGCCTCTGAATCCAGTTTTTGTATATGCTTTATCAGCATGACCTCTTTTTGAAGAAATTTCACGAGCAAAACATCGACATGGGAAGCAAAATGCAGCATCCAAGCATGGACTGTATTCCAACCAATTAAATTGACTATACCAATTATCATGAAAATTTCTTTCTGAAGCACCCAATTTTCTTCGAGGAAATATGATGGCATGTGGCTGAAATGGGCCTTTTTTTATTCTTTCCATTTTTTCATATCGATTGGAACTTATAGGATAGACCGGATCTACAGGATCAGTGATAGTCTGGAATTGTATAATTTAATTTAAGGGGCCTACACGCGACCTGTTTTTTTGCTCAAAAACATGCCTTACAGGAAAAACTCTCACGCCTCGTAGATTGGTCCGATTTCCGTATTTTTTTTTTGTTAGATAGAGAAAGACGTATTGCAGGGCGCATTGGACTTGGATTTTCAAAATTATTTTTTGAAATCTTATATTACAAGTTTTAATTTAATCCATTTTTACAACTTTTTAGTTTTTGTATTATTATTCATTTTTAGCAACGTAATCAAAAATCAAAGTCCAATGCGCCCTGTAAAAAATATTCTTCTATCTACCAAAAAAAAAAAAATAACGGAAATCGGACCAATCTACGAGGTGTGAGAGTTTTTCCTGTAAACTGTGTTTTGACCGATATAATACACCCTATCAACCCCCCCCCCTAAATAGGTATTGGGTAGTAGATTAGTGGAAAAGTCTTATAATTGAGGTGGCAACTAAAATATAAAATTTAATTTTCAAATTTTATAGAATTGCGGAAAATTTGAAAAATCGCGACCAGGCCCCTTAAATAAGAAGACTACTGTCAATTGTCATTAATTAAATGCTCTTTTTTTTTTACATAGTATTAGCAAACTAAGTATAACAACTTACACCCTGTTTTTATACATCCAACTGTTTCCTAATGTTATTACTTAAAAAGTCTTATATTGTTTTTGATTAATGATAATATTTTGTTTTGTTTATATTTTATAAACGGAAGATTTGAACAACTAAAAATATAAATTAAATAGTAATACTTTTCAAAAGCCAAGCAGTGATGATTAGTTTTTTCATAAATAAAGCAATGCATGCAATTATATAATATATTAATATAGTACCTATTGCAGTGAATCATTCATTATTGCAGAATTATTAAAACCATTCTTAAAATACCTTTAATTTATTCTGAATTAGTGCACTTAACTACTGCAGAAATATATTCATTACCAAATACCAATTGGAGCATTGTAGAAAAAAAACTCTTTTACCGTACCTTTGTTAATTTATTTTAATTATTATCAACTCTAAATCATTGTTGAATACTTATTTGCATTAAGGGCAATATAGATAAACCTGATCACTTGACACTTTCAATTAGGTGAAAATGTAGGAATTCTATAAGACAGTTTTTCAATAATTACACACTTTAAACTTATAACACATATTATAAAAACTTGTTTTCAGTATTTATGATTTATGAATTTACCTGATTTGGTGTAGAAGACTTAACTAAATTTAGGTTGGTTAAACCAAATTTAGGTGGGTTGGAAAGTTCAATATCTTTTGTGTCAGCTACACTACAGATAATTTGACTCTGATAACAAATAAAAGAACATATTTAAATGCAATAAATTACAAGCAATTAATGTACAATTTAAAAAAAAAATGTTTCATTTTATAGTAAGACCTTAAACTATAGAATATATACATTAACATAAAATATAATATATCTACCTGGTCAGTTTTTTTAATCTCCACGCAGTCATCACTTTCAATACATGGATTAGGGCCATCCAAGTCTTCTTCTTTTATACTTGCATTTGTGGAAACCGCATTATTCTATCAATAGGTATGATATAATATTAAATTTAATTGAAACACTTATATTTCATGTTATCAAATAGTATCCAATTGTAAATTCTATTATAACCTACCTGTTTAGAAAAGTATGAATGTAAAGTTAGGTATTTTCTTTTTACTAGGTTCCATATTGACTGATCGATCAACTATGAAATCCGAAATCAACGCACAGATATATAAAAAATGTATTTTTAACTATGGTAGTATGGTTTAACGACTTTAACGGGTACACGTCAAATTATTATAAAATAAACGTAAATTGTATACGCTAATCAAACGTTATCACTGCCGTAACGTTATCACTGCCAGTGCCGTTCTTCTGTTATCTAATATCTATGGTATGTGCTGAACGTCGTGCGCCCCCAGCACGATTTAAGATATACTGGTTACACATCGAATTGTGATAAGGAGACCGTCTAACTGAATCCCTATATCAGCTCTGGAACTACTGACTGGCGCCATCTAGCGATAAATGTATTAAACCGATATGAGACACTGATTATTTTTACCGCGCTTTTTAAATACTACTAATTGATATTGATAATTACATAATAATATATTTTTTATTAATATAAAACAATAGAGAAATATGATGATATTCTCAAGTTCTCAACTCTGAATATTGATAACTGTTACCCACGATCGACGCTATTTGCATAAATTCAGTATAGTGTAATTAAGTTTGTCTTAATTTAACATGCGGTGTTGTGTACCAAATTGTATAGGTATTGGTAGTACTTTTGGCATACCTAAAAATGCGTTTAATTTGTGGCAAAATGCTCTTGGTATAGAGTTGAAATCCAACTATAAAGTATGTGAGGTACATTTCAAAACTGATGACATCATTAAGACATGGGTTTCAGGCCAAAGTCAATTTTCGGTTAGTGAATATTAATCTAATACTTAATAATTTAGATAGGCTCAATCATAGATTAATATTGATCTATGAGTTCACCTTAATGTCATTAGTAGTTTTAAATATTATCTTTTAGATATGTTACAAAAGGCCTAAATTACGGGAAGGAGCAATACCTATTGATCGACATTCTAATGTTATGTTATGTATTATTTTGTTTTAATTCAAAAATAAAACTATAATCACAACAAATATGTGTTTTGTCACATTGAATAAATAGCTAGATGGTAGAGAAGCTTTGTATAATAAAGAAAATAATGATTTTCAATCAGATTGTGCTGTTGTACCAAAAAAAAAGAAAGGTTTGTACCTATAATTTAAAATAAAAATACATAGATTCTAGATACAAGGTATAATCTCTTGTTTTTTTTTTTTTATATATATATATATATTCAAAAAGGTAAATGAAGATGTACATTTAGATCACTCCTATAGTTACACGAGTGTGGAAAACGAATTTCCTGAAGTTTCATCAGTCTTAACTGAAACAACGCCATACCAAAATAATAAACAAATAGTAATTAATAGATTTTAAACATTTTATTTTAATAATACAAAAAAAAATATGTCTTTAATAAATCTGAAATCTACTCAATGATTATTGTAGGTACCAAAAATGGCATTCACACTTTAACTATTTGACTTTGTACTGAATTCGTACAAATCGATAAATATGCCACCAAAATGGTACATTGATATCGGGCATAAATCAAAAACTATAGAAACTTTTATTGGATTTCACTTTTTGGGCTCTTTTAGAGATGACTTTTCAAGAGCCATAGAAAAACAAATAATTTTGACTTCAGGTATGATTAACATATTATATCCAACAAATAATAATTACAATTATGATTTAAGTTAGTTACAGTTTTATAACATTTGTATTGAATAGATTCTACCTTAATCATCCATATATATGGTAAGGTAATAAATACTGAAGAGATTGGTTTGTCTTCTGATTACAAACCAGAAAGTGTAGAAGAATTGGCAAGGCTGGGCAAGTTAACGATTTTTTTTAACTCGTTAAGTTAAGTTATTTTAAAATAATAAAGTTAAGTTAAATTAAAAGTTAATCATATTTTTTACGTTAACTCGTTAAGTTAAAAGTTAACTTTGAAAAAAAAGTAACTTAACTTAGTTTAAAGTTAAAATTTTCTATTTTGCAAAAATAAAAAATTGCACACATAATATTAGTTTTTTTACACTCAAGAAAAATACTAGGGAAATTTTTTAAATGAGACATAAAAGTATTAACTAGCTATCAAAAAACCTACTTTTCCAAAATAAATCTTAGTCCTGAACTCATACTCAAATCAATTTACCCAAGTGGTACATCAAAAAAAAAAAAAAAAACACCTTAATAGATTTCTCCCAACTGCCAAGATACCAATATTTTTAATTGATTCACATAAATTTTAAAAATCAAACAGGCAGTACCTACCACCCAAATATATTTTCTATACTGAGGACAAAATGCAGCCACCGTGTAGTTTTAAAACCTAGGCTCAGCACAACATGAACAATTATTATCAGTAAAAATATAATTACTTTGTACTATATTTTTAGATAAAAATAAAACCATAAATGTTAAACCTTTAATAAATATCTTAAGAAATTACATATTTTGTATAAGCTTTAAACTTTTCGTACAAATTTAAATACCTGTTAAAGAATAACTAAACATTTAAAATAGTTAATTATATTTATAGAAGTTGTCTTTACAAACTTATGAATTATTATGCAATCATTTAAATTTTACCAATTGTGTACTTCCACTGTTGCTAAACATGGTAAATAATAAAATAGTCGAGTCATGACTACAGCATTCATTATTGAAAGTCACCACATATCATTTAGGTAACATATAAATAAGATAATCGATAATCTCATTTATGTGGCTATATAGCATATATGTGTACATAGATATTATTTATAAACATAAATAAATAAATATATACATATATTAACTGCCCAATATTAATTAATTACAAGAATAAAACAAAATTTAACTTTTCATCAAAAATATTTATTATATTTTAACAAAAGAGACATTTCAAAATTGTTATCAGAAATGGATCCTCTCCTTTTGTCAAATAATTGACCACCAGCACTAAACAATCTCTCCACAGGAGCAGATGACGGTATAGCTGTATTAAATTCTATATAAGCTTTTTTTAATTCGTGTGTTAAATCAAGTGGTACCTTAATGTTAGTATTTGTTAAATAATTAGTAACTAAAGTTTGGAAATCAGAGTTAATTACTGAGATTTCATCATTAGAAAAAGTGAAAAAATCATCTTCATCTTCACTGTTTGTTTCAAGATTTGAAGAACTTAGAGAAGAAAGATTTGTGTTTTGATCAAAATGAAATTGCACACGATCAATAACATGTTGTTTTATGATGTTTCTGTCTTCGGGATTAGCCCAAATTAATTTGAACTTTGGTACCAATGCCGAAGAAACTTGTAATGTTTTTGACTGCATGTAATTTTTAAACCTGAAAATATAATGTATATTTAATGTACCATGTAACACATTATAATGATATAATTCAGTTTTAACTTAAGAATCGTTAAATATTACAAGTGCATTATTACTTATAAATTTAAAATATATAAATATGTGGGCGACATAAGGTAATAATATAAACGCTATTTATGAAATTGTTCTGTAAAACGTTTTTGTACCATTTTAACTGTATAAATAAGTTTTAACTTTTATGAATAACATTGGAGTACATATATCATTTTTCATTGAGTTCCAATGAATATAATAAAAATTTAAAAAATGTATAAAAGTACCTTTTGGTTAATCCATTTTTTAAAGCATGAACCAATGGTCTACAGAAATTTAAATTATTGAATTCATTTAAGGCTTTGTTTATAGCTGTAATTGTTGGTAATAGATATCCAATACAAACATGTTGTTCACCTTGTAAAACATCTAGCCCTGTTGCGATTGGTTTCATCACCTAAGATAATAAAACAATAGGTATCATACATCCCATTGAAGAAAAATTTGATTTCCTTCTTCCCAAAGTAATGACAAATTAATATAAAAAAAATTTTTTTTCTTTAGTAAATTTACTGTTAAACTATTATATTTCTTTCATTATACCTATCATTATAAATTATAATAACATATTACCTTGCAGTATTCAATTAAAAATGAAGACTCTCTTTGACCTGAGAAAGGAGTTAATTGAAATGCTGTGAATATTGTATCCATTTTATCTATATGGTCAACAATACATTTTATGGCATCGTAGAACGAATTCCATCTGAAAATTATAGTAATTTATTTTGTTATTAATAATGAAACACTGATAAGTCATAATAATACATGATATTTAATTTTAAAGTATTGAAATCTAAATAATATTAACTTGCCTGGTAGCGTTTGGTGTTATAAGATATCTTCCCAGAATTTCTTTAATTTTATCAGCACATTGTGTCGATTGATTCTGCTTATTGAAAATAGATTGACATTTAGCAAACACACGTCTACTAAGTACTTTATATGGACCATCTTTTTCTGCTTCAAGAATATCAACTGTTGCAATTAAATTTAACGTGTGCGCAGCACATCTTTGATGTTTTGGCAATTTTATATCTAATACATCATTTGTGTTTTGAGTTTGACCATCAAGTATTTCAGTGATATTTATGGTTCTCAATATTTCATCATTTTCAATTTCAATTCCACACATTTCAATATTACCACTATTGTCAATTTCATTATTAGCACCAAACACTCTGAAATCAAAATAAATACATTTAAAATTGAAAAACTTGTAATTATAAAAATAAAATGAATAACTATTACAAAAAATTACAATATATAAATACATACAATTAGTATATTATTATTATAAAAAGTAAAAAGAAACTATAATTGTATACCAGTGTTTAGAGATTAATTAATTCTAGTATTTTTTTATACTGTTGAAAAAGATAATATAACATTTAATTATCAGCACTGTATATAAATTACAATTTTAAATAAAATTCAAAAAGTTGGTGTACAATCATAGCTTAATGAATTCGTTATAATAAATTAACATAAATCATAATATTTATAACTAATACAAATAGGCCATTCTAAAATATACATCTTACTTGAAAGCTTTAACAAAATTTGCTGCGTTATCTGTGACAATTAGAGTGGTTTTAGACTGTACATCAAATTCTGTAAGAACTTTTTCAATTATTTCTGCTATATTATCGTATGTATGCCTCCCTAACATGCGTCTACAAGCGAGGGCGCGGGAATTACGTTCCAATGTAATTGGGTTCAGCCAATGAATTGTAAAACCCATATACGATCTACAATAAATTTATTTTGTAAAAATAGGTTTTATATTATTATTGAATAACAATTAAAAATTTATTTTTTTGATAATTTAAAAATAATATATTACCTGTGGAAAATACTCCAACAATCTGCAGTAATGCAAACATAGGTATTCAATTTTTTCTAGTTCAGTCTTCAGTTGTTGAATCATATCATTGAACAATGAGCTTACATTTCTCATCAAACTTCTTCTGGACATAGGAACTTTATTGGATGTTAAGTGACAATATTTTATAAATGCAGGGTGCTCAATCAAAGAAAAAGGTGACACAGTATTTATAATGAGTTCTAGGTTAGCCTTATCAAATTCTGTTTGACTAAGATTTTTTACAGTTTTTCCTACTTCCGATAATTTCAACTGTTTTTTGGGTTGAGTACAATTATTATTATTGTACAACTTCCTTTTTCCAAGCTCATTAAATGTAATTAATTCACTTGGATGAACATGCTGAAAAAATAGGTATTAACTTCAATAATATAAAACGCATAAAAATCGCACATTTTTAAATTTATCCACTTATTTTTCAATACTTGATGTGAAATTACGGTAATTTATACCTATGAGTTTTAGTTTTACTTTAGATAATATTGTAAAATAACAAAAATCATAACAATTACTGAAATTTTTTTAAAACAGGTACCTATACTCTGTTCCAAAAGAGAACGGTCATTTCGGCCGACCGGTTTTTGTCGGTCGCTGCGCATCTCCCACCAACGACCCATAAATGGGCGGTCATTAATGCCTGATCCAGCGTGCGTTCACGTGTGCATCCTGCATGGTCCTGCGGGTGCGTGCGTCGTGCGTTACTGTGTGGCTCCTATGCGTGCGTGCGTCGTGCGTAACTGTGTGGCTCCTATGTGATAGTGTATACAAAAATTATAATACTGAAATTAGGTACCTAACACTCAGTTGAAGTTGAACTACTTTTTTAATTTTTATAAACTTCCGAATAGATCATCAGTGAATTAACTATTATCTATAACTTGTATCTAGGACCTAGGTAGAGAATAAAAAATATTAATTAATTAATTGATTAGTACTTGTTAAGTATTTAATTATAAAATATAAAATTAATCATAATATAAAATAATTCAAACTGATACAATAGAATATTAAAAACTAATTAATAATGTATAAAGTTAATATTATGATAATTAGAAAACTGCGTCTTACATTGCCCATCACTCCATTAAATTAGATGCGATATCGGTCGTATCCACAATTAGTAATTACCCGATAACGCGAAAGCTTCGTGTGAGAGAGATCGATAGTGACTACAGGTAGACAGACAGAGACCGTCACGATACACGCGCCTTAGATATCATCATTATTGGCCATTACACACCGTTCGACCGAATTATACGTTTTATTATATTTCAAATTACGTTTTGTGAGCTGTGTAAGGTGTAACCTCTACGGAGTACGACCTATTTTTCTACCTCTACGACTGTGCACAGTATTTTGTTTTGTTTTGTTTCATTTTTATTTTTTAAGCTATGGAAGACATTCAATCTCCAAGAAAACGTAATCCTCAAGGAAAGGTAAATATTAATTATTCAATTATTATTTAATAATATTATTTAGATGGTGACGTATTGCAGGCGTAAAACGCCGTGAAAAACTAAGAAAAAAACAGGAATTTTTACGCAAAATCTAATTTCGAGAAAATCGATTTTGATTTTTGATACATTTGATAAATTTCAAATTTTGACAAAATACGTAAAAATCATAAAAACTATTTTGAGCAAGAAATTCATAAAAAATTTTCTTTTCAAATCTAAGATTTGAAATTTTAATACAAGATTCCTCATAAGTTTGATAAAGGTGGCAAAAAAAATTGTCTACCAGGAATTAAAATTAAATTTTTTGTTGCGTTTGAAGTTTAAATTTGACAAAATAAATTACTTTT